TACCCCCGCGTCCAACACCCACTACACCACTGACTGCAACTACAAAAAGCTAAGGTTTGTTTTCTCATCAGGAAATGCAGACCGGCTCAAACAAAAGATTTTTAAATCATCATCCTCACGATCATTTAATGTATCATATGTTCGCCGAATTGACATGAAAGCACTAATAAATGTAGTTTAATCCACTTGAGTTTACAAAAATAATCGATTGTTTTTATATCACATCCGACGGGAGGAAATTCAGCAGCTCTCACTACCGATTTGTAATCATAATTTAATCATCATCATCGCCACGATCATTTATGTTTATGTTCGCCGAATTGACACGAAAGCACTGACAAATATGAATATACTGTAGTCAACTTCATTAAAACGTTAGTAACGTGCCTAAACTCAGTAATTCACCATTTCTACGCATGACAACACACTTTGTCCGTGTTTGGCTCTCTCGCCGCAGAGTGAAGCGTTCCCACATTGACGTCACTTCCGGCTTTCCCCAAAACTTCAAAATGAGTCGAAGGAATTTACCCGCGATGTTCGAAATTATTGATATTTATCGGAACGGTATCGCACCTTCTTTTTTAAACTGACGGTTCGAGATGACTAGTAGCCCAATATTTCTTTGCACAACAGTTGTTGGGAGGCTGTCACAGGCTCTTTAAGTTTACAAGAGTTGTACGTTTTGTTCTAGTCATGCAACCGTGGGGTTTTTCAATTACAATCTTCATTTCTGACAAATATCTTGCTGATCAAAACTTGTAAATATAGTTATTTTGTATCCGTTTTTTCATTGCTTATTCTCTGCAATAATCCAAAATCCCATTGGCTTTTTTTGAGGCCATTCGGTGTTGCCGGTTTACTGGTTGGCCTTCAGAAATATTATCTCTATGAAGCACTTTATTATGTTATTGCATTATGTTGCATTGTGTTCTTCAATTAAGTATCTACCCATTAACTTATTTACTTAATTACTTTCTTAGTGTTTATGTTGCTCTATATTTGACTACACACTCTACACTCCCTGTTTTGTGACAGCCACATTCATAACGTATAAAAAAAGAACTAGTGACTTTTGTGTCTTAGCTTTGCTTTATGTTACCCGTCATATTCTTCTGTTTGGCCTGTAGATCATGTGTTTGAAAGAATTCTCCACTCTTCCTCTCCGGAGCTGGCTGAGTCGAGGCAGATTCTACGCAACATCGTCTGTCGACGCCTCTATAAATGTCTGGGCCAAACTCAGGCCGAACAACCCTTGATTGTCACCCCGGTGTGTGTATATAGCATTTAGGAGCTAGTTGTTTTGTGAGTAATGTGTTCTGAGATGTTTTTCAGTTGCCATGTAGGGCTGCAGCTAACAATATTTCCATTATCGATTCATCCATCATACGTATGTTTGAGGTATGATCTTTTTAATTAGTTCATTATAGATTCTAAAACAATGTCAGAATATGTGGGAAAATATACTTTCACAGAGGCAGAGGTCTTCAAAATTCAAGCTTCATTTGTCCAAGAAAACTCAATTAAATGCTTTGATTAAAAAAAAAAAGAGAGCAGCATTTTATCCTTGCTTTTGAGAAGCTGCAACCAGCAAATGTAAACACATTTCAACAATAAACTGTTTATCAAAAATGTTGACAATTAATGATCTCTTGAATGGTTGAATAACGAATCATTTCAGATGATCTTCCGTAAAAGTACTACAAAAGTACTAGATTTTGTTGATGGATATTGCAAAATAGATTACAAAGATTAGATTCGAGCTCAGAAGTTGTGATGAGTTGTGCATCTAATGGTTACATTTATATAATTTGAAATAGCCTTCATATCGTTATTATATATGTCCACGGGTGATGTTATGTCCCTGCCAATATAAAATATGTATTATTCTTCACTTATCTACTTTTTGCTCCCCTTCAGGAGAAAATTCGCAAATGGGAAGAAGATCTGGCTGAATCTCTCCTTCAGAGCGGCTCTAAGGATGGCAGTCTGCAGCCGGAGGACTTTGTAGTTAGTGTATGTTTTTGATCTAATTTCTAACATTCTTTATTTATATACTATTTTTATGAAATGTAGCTACTTTGTACTATAATATCTTAAGATGTTAGTCTTTCTACACGTTAAGATTATAACCCTCCTTTTCCCTTTAGGTCATCTATATGGACTATGGCATGAAGGATAAGAACCCCATCAACAATGTGCGTTTTTATTGCAAGGATGACTCGTCCAAAGCCATCCAGATCCGCAAGAACCAGGTCAGAACTGTAGGAAGTACCTCATAATTCAAATCTTGAACCGTCTTTGCCTGTGTTTTTTTTTTTCGTCATAGGTGTTTGTCATTGCTTCTGTCTGAAATGTATGTCTCGAAGTAAACTGTCATTCTTGCCAGGTGTCTAAACTTCTCCCAGAGCAGTTTGCTGAGCAGCTCATCAGGGTTTACTGCAAGAAGACCGACGACAGGAGTCTGGAGGCTGCCAAGAAACACTTTGTCCAGTGGTGCATCAACATGAACCTCTCAAAGCCTCAGGTACTATTTAATCGGACGTGATAATAATTTGTATTTTGGTTGTTGAACATAAGTTAGGTAGTTTGCCTCTACCCTAAACTGAAAGGACAAACAATTATAACTAGAGAATGCAATTCCTGAAGAAATTGCTAGTGGGAATGCTTTATGCTGAAAAGCTGACGCTAAACTGCTATGCTGAAATGTAATGTGTAAGAAGAAAGGGAAGAATTTAGATTGAAATGATACATGAACACTGGGGGCTTGAATGTGTGATTAGAGAAGAAAAGAAAGTAAAAAGGCTTGGAAAAGCAGCAGAATGTTCGAACTGCAAACTTCTGAACTAACTTAATGGCGAATGATCTGTCGCCATGGCAACGGCATTTGATGACACCCCATAATACGCTTAAATGCGTTGATGGCTGCATAGTTACCAAACCTGTGAAGTTTTGGGGCGTTTGGAGCAGTTTCACTGAAGTTATGAGAAAGCCGTGTTTCATGGCGAGCATTGTGTTGCCATGGCAACGGCATTTGAAGAAATCTCAAAACTGTCCCGTAGATGTCTTCACGGCTGGACTGTTAGCACACTGCTATCTGAAGTCTGCTGCTCTGAGCATGTCAGTTGGAGTTATGACATCATCGTGTTTTATTACACAGGTATATTTGAGTTTACGAGGTGTGCAGAGATCACAGGTTTCCATTGTTCTGAATGAGAGATAAACCCCTTACATGTGAACGTTTTGTGGAAGAACCGTAACAGATATCTGTGACATTTCAAAACGTGAAGCATGTCAAGGAAGTTGAGTATCTGAAGTGTAATTTTTGTGTACTTTCGGGTTAATAATGTGACCTTTTTGGCAGTTTAACTAAAGGTGTGCGGCTGCTACCGTGAGGAAATATCTGCCTGAAATTACAATGGGCTTTAAAGTCCTTATCTTACATGAAAAACTTTTTTTGGCAGTTGATTTCTGGGGGGTGTATGCAACAGATAGTCAATGTATGTTTCTTTATTTCATACTGAATAATATGTAAAAAAAGGAAAAATATTAGGTCCAATAAAAAAACTTTGCTTCTGGAAGCAGGCCATTTCGTGACGTCACGTGTGGTTCCCGGCTGCCGCTGTCTGGCTCCCTGCTGCCGTCCGGATCGACAGCCAATGCGCGCAGCCAGCGAGAGTTCACAACGAAAAATGGCGTCAAATATTGTTGATGTTTACGCATCAGAAAAAGCTAATAGCGCGGGTATTTGGCACAATTTGACAGAACAATTATTTGGTGTGGACGATGCGAGCAGTGACGATGAATCTGAACGATCTCTGCCGCCTTTTACACCAGAAATAAGAGGCCTAGAACCGTATAGGTTCGAGCCAGCAAAACGCGAATGTGCACCACCGGCCTTCTCTTTCGGGAACAAATGAACGGTAAAACCATCCCGATTGGTGTTGCTACACCCGCCAACGACACACCTCTTCACCATGATCCTTAAAGCTTCGGGAAATCCGGGAAAAAACAAGACAAACTCGGAGATAAACACTGATACACAAAGTTGACATGCGGCTATACCAGCAATGCTACACTGTGTGATGCTGGGACGGGCTGAACTCACCAGGATTCGCGGAACCACACGTGACGTCACGACACAGCACCAAGCAGCGGCAAGTTTGAATCCAGACTTTTCTGGATACCTCTGAATTTGACCCATTTTCCCGATATTAACA